GTCAAGTAACTGTAGCATTCGTGCTATAGGTGTGACGTGTCTGCAACATCCCAATAAGCATGTGCCGGTACAATACATGGCGTTTCACCTCATGGCTTTAGCCGTTTGTTGCCAAAAATCTTAAATGTATCCACTATGAAACACGTTATGCCGCTCCAGTCTAACATAATGCTCGTCTTGTTCCTTTCTTATGCTCAATAATGTTTCTGATGCTCCAATAGTCTCATAATGCCGAAAAATGCCGGCATTATCTGCTGGACTCTAGCTCTAGAACGTCCTACAAGTGTCTTGCATGATAAATAACTGATAATGGCAGTGCATTGTACAATAATTTTATTTCGCCAGCAGTAATTTTCCAACTGTTACTGGTCGCACTACTTTACGTGCAACATGAGTTCCGCCTTCTTCTGATATGCATTATTTGTATGTACTTCGCGCTTTTGCTGTGCCTGTGCAGGCTGAGTTACTCAGTGTAGTGACCAGTCAAGGCCAAAACGCTCAGTCAAACAGTCACAAACCAGCCATGACCAGTCACAAATCAGTTTACAAATCACAAGGCCCCATGAGCAGCCCCAGAACGAGGAACAATGTCATGTACATGTGTAAAGCACGAACGACACAGATCACCACAGATGATTCGTTTTAACGTAAAGTTAGATGCCCATAGGTTATCATCAGACAACTAATGCTGCCTGAAGAGCCAATGGCCGATTATTTAATCGGATCTCTGTAATTTCATCTCTGTTTAAACAAACTTCGGCCATAAACATCAAAATATGATGAAGACTGGTGTTAGTTGTATCAGGAATCAAAAATTGACGTGAAATGGAATTATATTGTCAGACCCACCAATAAAATTTCAGGTTTGTGCATTGATTCACTCTATACAGTTAGATGGGATGCGTGTGCTCAAACGAACACCAGCACTTGGCAAGTCGATTGGACTTTTCGATTTGACCACAAAACCTGGAAAGACGCCAACATATCCTGTCGGTCACTTGGCGGATCACTGTCTACTGTTCAGACGATGGCTCAGCTGCAGTGTGCCAACTCTACAGCGAAGGGAACGTCCGCTACGTGGGTAGGCCTGACTGGTACATGGAGTGCCGGAAATTGGATTGCTTGGAAATGGGAAGCTGCATTGTGGTCCGTTACGGCACAGCTTCTTCCATGGGATTCAAAATTTCCAGCGATTCGGGATGATTACATATACGGATACTATCAGCCAGACATTTTCAGGTTACGGACGTGGGACAACAACCATACACTTCGGTACCTCTGTCAACGATATGTGCCTAAAGGTAGGTGTATGGCCTTTGATAAGCAGAACCTGTTGTCACATTTTTTTATAAAGTATGTACGAAAAACCCTACACATACTGCCCTCAAATCAAATGGTGTCATTACTGCATTTTTCAATTTTTTAATTACATTATCCTCGAGGATCTATCATCGGATTGAGAGGAAACCGAATGAGGTGGACCTAACCTTAATTTGTACAATGTTCCTAGAAGGGACCGTGTGCTTCCCAATCGAATATGGTGAAGGAGATTTCAGTTCCCTTCATATTTTCTGATAATCAGGGATCTTGGAATATTTGACAGGCTGTTGAAATTTCTAAGAAACGGAATATTAGGCGAAATGTCATGAATTTTCGGTGTTCGGCATACATCCTCCCCCTCTTCAAGTACGGCTTCCCTACTTGGTCTATAGGCACCGGCGGATTATGCCGGCATAACTATTGGCATAAGTTGGTGGTCGAAAATTTGGAGCATAATTTGGCATCCTTTCGGAGGTAGGAGCAAAACTACATGATTGTACCACAATTCCAGTATGTGAGCTACACAATTGTGTGCAATTCACCTGATCAGTGCTGGTAGTCTGCATGGCCAAGGGTTCGGAGTAGCCTTTTTCCAAAGACGCGAGCCACTTTTTTCGCAACTTTCCGTTGTTTAGGAAGAAATCGCAACTTTCTTCATTCCACAAACAACTACTTCGCAACTTTTCCGCAAAGGTGTGGTCGACTGTGCAAGCTATGGTTATTGCTCTAATAATTAAACAAATGAGGTATAGAGAAGAAGTTTTGAGGCTACCTGCAGTTTCATAGTATTTACACAATTGGGTGAATTCACCCATTCCACAATTCATTGCAAATCTGAACCATTCCATTATAATGCAACGTTTCGGCACTTGGCCATCGCCAGGTAATAACAATGAATACCGTATAAATGAGGTATAGTTTACGTTTGGTCATGGTGGAAGGAGAGGTGGAGCTACGGGAGAGATGAGTTGATTATTCCCAGGGTGAGGGTGACATCGGTTGGACGAGTATGGCGATTACGAAGACAGTTGAACATTATAATTTTCAAAGGTAACTCAAAACAATTTGGCAATGAAAATTACAAAAGAACTCAACTAATGATTAGAAGAAGTCATGTTTTCATACACATACAGACAGCATACACATACAGACAGCATACACATACAGACAGCATACACATACAGACAGCATACACATACAGACAGCATACACATACAGACAGCATACACATACAGACAGCATACACATACAGACAGCATACACATACAGACAGCATACACATACAGACAGCATACACATACAGACAGCATACACATACAGACAGCATACACATACAGACAGCATACACATACAGACAGCATACACATACAGACAGCATACACATACAGACAGCATACACATACAGACAGCATACACATACAGACAGCATACACATACAGACAGCATACACATACAGACAGCATACACATACAGACAGCATACACATACAGACAGCATACACATACAGACAGCATACACATACAGACAGCATACACATACAGACAGCATACACATACAGTCAGCATACACATACAGACAGCATACACATACAGACAGCATACACATACAGACAGCATACACATACAGACAGCATACACATACAGACAGCATACACATACAGACAGCATACACATACAGACAGCATACACATACAGACAGCATACACATACAGTCAGCATACACATACATTCAGCTTTAAGTACTTCCTAGATAGGAGAGCGAGAGCCGTACACCGGCGATTAGAGTCCACTCTCCAATAGTACCCCTGTCTCTCAGATAGCCGGTGGAAACAAAGATAACCCTCTCTTGAATAGTGCCCACCCAACAGCATGTGAATACTTGCCGTTCTTTGCTAACCATGCACCAAGGAAAGCTTGTTGTTGTTTTTCCAATAGACTTGTCCATGCTAGTACACTGGTGGTTTCTGATCAAAATCCCAGTTCTTGTTGCCGTTTTCGATGAGTCGTGAACTTTTACAGCAAATGTTAGATGATTTTTTTGCGCACGCGCAAAAATATGTCAACACAGAACTCGCATGCTCTGTTCCCAACAAACTCTCACACGCTCATTGTTCTCCGAAGTCCACTGTACCTGACTTCAGTTCTTGCTTTGTCCGCATTGGCAGTGGATTTCTTTCTCAAGCGACATCCTGATAGAAACTGACGCATCTGGCGCCATTGGGCATGGCGCAGTTTACGGAACGCATTGGTTCGCCGACACCTGGTCACCACAACACACTCCGCTCTGCATTACGTTCAAGGAGCTGTATCCCATCTGCATTGCATGTGCTACGTGGGGCCACCAGTGGTGTCGCGATCATGAGCTGTGTGCTGACGGTGTGCTGGATTTGCTTGGAGGCTGGAGGAGAAGCTGGAGAAGAAGACTCGGATGAGATCGCTACTCTGCTGTTGTTTTCCCGTGTTGTGTTGGGTTTTGTTCTCTTTTTTCTTTGGTTTCTGTTCATTCTTTGTGTTAGCAGAGTCTCACCAGCTTCTGGCATCCAGGTCTGAGCGAAATCACCAGTCTTCGCGCCTGTATGACGTGCCGGCATTCCTACTCCAGCTGGCGTCTCCTGTAGCAGTAATGCCTTGCTGTCAGTGTCAACTAACAGGGAAGTGCCAGAGATGTGCGTGCAAGATTTCTAACAACCCATGTGTGGATTGCTATCCAAGTCGCACCGTTCCACCAACGTGTCGAAACAGGACAAGAGGTGTCGCTACCCCTCCTGGTTTCGGAGCTGGCTCTTCCTACCGCCAGAGCGATGGTCTGAGTGGCAGCGCTAATGTCGGCGCTATTATTAACAGCCGACCTGATAGTCTGGGTGGTGATAGCTCAGCGCTTCAGCCTGCCAGTCATGGTCATGGTGTGACTAGCGACCATGACCGAGGTGCTGACTGGCACAATCAGCCCCCTGCATGGCTGAGGAGAGTGTACCCCAGCAGTTAAAATTTCTTAGCCGCAAACACAGCGCTATGGAGTACATGAAATTTCATCTTCGTCAGCACCAGCGTCTTCGCCAGCGTCAACACCAAGCCAGGACATGCCACCGCTAGTGGCTACGGTACCTTCAGTTGATTTGCCGGGGAGTCAGGCTAACTCTGTGCCCGATCCACCTCCGGAGAGAGTTTTCTCCAACCATTCTAGCCAGTCGGGGCCGTCGGGACCTGCACCTCGGCTAGATCCGCCCAGCCCAGCAATCAGTTCTGCGTTTGACGAGGTTCTACATTGGAGGAAGAGATTTTTCAAGATTCCAACAGGGTCCGTTGGAAAGGATTTTGTCAACCTCATTGCCGCACAACTTCGCAGTTTCGTTGACTCGGCAGGCACCAATGCGAGTGCTATGTATAATCTGTCGGTCTTGCCATCGTTGATGTTGCAGGTGACTCACAGTACGAGCAAAGCTAAGGCTAACGCTGACCATCTTCAGAGGCGGATGGCTTTGTGGCGGGGCGGCGATTTGGATGCACTGCTTGCGGACGGCCGTTGCCTGCAGGACACCTTGTTTCGCTCTAGGCCGGGTGGCAAGAGGCAGAGTCTAAAGGACGGCACCCGAAGCTCTGTCAGGGACCTTCTTCAGGAGAAGCACCCAGAGAGGCTGGCTGCCAGCCCGGAAGTCTTGTTGAGTGGACAGCCCCCCGAAGTGGACGGCATTCGATTTGACCCATTGACCCCGGATCTCCTCAAGTCTATCGCCGAGCACACAGAAGGCTCCGCTGGCCCTTCCGGTCTGGATGCTGCTGCCTGGCGCCGCATGTGTTTGGCGTTCAAAGGAGCCTCAACACGCCTTTGCGAAGCAATGGCTGATTGCGCCCGCTTGCTTGCGACCCGTGTCATACCATCGGAGGGCCTCATTCCATTTCTTGCTGGTCGGCTAATTGCACTGGACAAGAAGCCTGGGGTCCGCCCAATCGGGGTTGGCGAGGTGCTGAGGCGCATTGTTGCTAAGGCGGTACTTCGTGTCGCAGCCCCGGATATTGAGAAAGCCTGCGGATTTATCCAGAAGTGTGCGGGCCAACCAGCTGGGATAGAGGCGGCCGTGCATGCGGTGCAGCAGATTTACAATGACGAGGAGACAGATGGAGTGCTGTTGGTGGATGCTCGCAATGCATTTAACAGTTTGAACAGAGAAGCGGCGCTACACAATGTCCAGCGGCTATGTCCTGCCCTCTCCAGCGTCATCATGAACTCCTGTCAAACGGCTGCACGTTTATTTGTTGCAGGTGGAGGGGAAGTCAAGTCGAGTGAGGGAACCACTCAGGGCGACCCCCTCTCCATGGCCTTTTACGCAGTTGCCACCATACAGATCATCACTCGTCTCCAGGAGCAGCACACATCAGTCCGGCAGAGCTGGTATGCGGATGATTCCAGCGGAGCAGGTAGGCTGAGACAGATCCGGTTGTGGTGGGACGAGCTGCAGGCAATTGGACGGCGATACGGATACTTCACGAACTCCGAAAAGACCCAGCTCCTTGTCAAGCCAGAGCTGGAGCAGGAAGCACGCCAAGTGTTTGCCGAGACAGGGATCCGGATTGTCACGGGGAGCTTGCGTTATCTCGGCTCCGAGATTGGATCGGAAGAGGCGGTCGCGGAAAGTGTGCAGCAACGGGTGGCGAAGTGGAAGGAAGAGCTGAAGAAGCTTACAGAGATTGCAAAAACGGAGCCACATGCTGCCTTTGCTGCAATATCTCATGGTTTACGTGGTAGGTGGACCTACCTATTGCGTACAGTACCTTTCCCTGCACAATGCCTTACCGACCTTGACAAGGTGATCACGGAGGAGCTTCTACCTGCTCCAGTGGGCCGTGATTCCTTCCTACCAGACGAATTGAACCTTCTCCGCCTGCCCTGTCGACTGGGGGGGGGGGGGGGGATGGCTCTGCCGTGTTTTCAGCAAATGGGTACGGCAGAGCTCCCTGCGTCGAGAGCTGTAACGGCCCTTCAG